TGGTAATTTATTAGCAAAATTTTTGCTATGCGCCCTTGACACAATATTTTTATTTTTATCTTAATAAGCAAGCTCAAAAAACTGTACGGTATAATCCAAACATGTGTGGTGATACGAATAAAGCGCTGTTGTGGCCGTCTCAGACTGCCTTATGAAAATCTTTCTCTTAAAAGTTTATGCTGTGTAATGTGTATGCTGAAATTCATATATACATTTTAATTTTGAATTTGATGTTTCGCCTATTTGCAAAATTAAAACTGTTTCGGATACTTTGGACCATTGGAGACAATTTTAATATTTATACTTTGACCTTACTGCCCTATTATCCATCCCATAAGTTCAACAAATGACTTTATTTCGATTGGTCTTAAGAACCCGTTGTCACGAATTTTATTCGCAATTTCTGAATCACATATTCTTACTCATTGCAAAATAGAACACGCATGTGTAAAAATATCAGACCCTGAAATTTAGATTAACATTCACGACTACGTATTTTTAAGGAAGATGGAAATGCAGTCATGGCTTGACCTTGGGAATCTGATTGCCGGTAAATAACGTCAAAGTTTAAAAACGTATATACTTATATAAATTACATCTTTATATATTAAATTATTTATTTATGATATTTTAATTATGTATATATTTTTGTTAACGGTCTAAAGTTCGGAAAACACTTGCATGTTTGGAAATCGGTGAAGCATTCCATTAATGCCCCAATTTGAGAATCCAATCCTTGTAAGAATTGGGTACCTTGGTCAGTTATGTACATGGTTACATAGTTTCGGAATTCTGAAAGAAAATGCTTCAACCTTAATTGATTAACCTTATCGGTCCGACCGGACCGAAGCTTATCGGTCCGGTCCTGGAGGGTCAGGACCGAGACCGGACCGGAATTTTTTATCGGTCTCGGTCCGGTCTAAGCCCAGGACCGGGACCGGACCGAACCGGAGTTATCGGTCCGGTCCGGTCCGTGGACCGGACCATTGAGAACACTAGTCCTAGTAGATTAAAAAAAAAACACAGTGGGTACCCTAGACACGACAAGCAGTCGGGAACCTTCCCTTGTAAGTTTATTTTGACTTCTGCAAAAACTCAAATCAAACCCATATCGTGAAACACATCATTTCTTATTCAAACATATTTTCAATCCATCCGAGAAATATAATATGTACACATTTCTATGTACATTTATGCGTTTTAGTCATTCCTTCTAGAAAAAAGATGACCTTTTACTTAAAATTAAATTCTGATCATAAATCCTTGAAATTATATTCAATGTCTGTCTCTAAGTTTGTGACATATCGTCTGTCGTAACCTATATGGATAGATTTCTACTTTAATACAGGAATTTTTTTGAAAACTGGTCTGCAATCTTTCCATATATCAAGAGTTTTCCGCCAGTCCGGATTAAGTCTGTCACTTCCCTGTATAAATATTCCAATCAATGGTGTCCAATCAATTTTCAGTCTATGATGTAATCCTCTGACGTGGTGCGACCTTCTGTGAAAACTATATCCAAAGGAGAAATATGACGCATTATCGGTCACAATGAAAATATGAATAATTTTCAGTTTAAGTCGCGTCTAACTATTTAAACATTTCGCCCACAAAGTCATTTATTCTATTCAGCGAGAAATGTCTGATATACTTTATTTCAGTGAAGCTTGAAATAGATTAAGGAAATTTCAATTGCCTGCATGTTGTGAAAATTCCAATTTCCACCGCTGTGACTATAATTATTAATTACATAGGTGGTACAAAAATCACCTCATAGAAACTATGGATTTTGGATGTACATAATTCATGTCATTTACGCACGAATCACTACTTGGAATTAGATTGTAATTTACATATATCTACATACTTTATGACATTTTTTTGTTATTTCATACAAATTTATGCATGTAATGAGGGGTAAAAAGGGAGTGGGAAATTATTGCTAGCAGAAGTGGGCCCTTCTCTGCAGAGAGGGATTATCGATATATTACGTCATCAAAAATTTTTGATTTTAGGACCCACCCACCCAACGTAAGGGGCCGTTCAAAAATTATGTAACGCAAAAATCGACTTTTTTCAGACCCCTCCCCCCCTCTGTCACACTAGCGTAACGCAAGGCTGCTACCCCCCTCCCCCCTGCGTAACGTAACGCAAATCTCATTTTCCCAAAAACATGAAGAAATATGTACACAAAATGAACGGGTGATTACTGGGTTTAATTCATAAAAAACATGAAAGTGGGTACATAAGGCTCAGTATTTCTAAACCTCAGGGCAACACGCAAGTCCACCTCATTTAACTTAGGTAATTTGTATTTTAAAGTTAATAAAATCTGAGATTTATGCATAGTGCCCCGAGTGTCCAATTAGTCTGAAGTTATGTAGTTATGTTATCTTAGTTATGTTAAGTTATTTTAAGTTATGCGTATGTATTTAGAAGACGTGTCTAATTACAAAAGTCACACAAAAACATCTAACGAACAAAGCTGGCATAATTTAATCCAATTGGGGGTATGCCACACGGAATTTTATTTAAATTATCTCATGAAAAATATGACTCCCTATCGTCGTAATTCGACGATTTGATATGCAACAAAAACGTTTTGAGCATTTTAGTTTGAAAGGTAAGCTCTTTAGAAACAACATTTAATGCAGAGCTCCATGCCTCCGATTTTCCGCCGACACCCAATTTAAAGCTCCGCCGCCGCCGGGAAAAATTACCGGCGCGCGCCACCGCCGCAAATAATTTAGCCGCCGCCGGGAAATAGTTATTTCATACAATGAAAAAGAGTTAAAACAGTCAAAAATGTCAAAATTTTAGTTGTGACGATTTTGCTTGTGGTTCAGAACACGGTTATTTATCTCGCCTCCTATCACTATGCGTGCTTACTGATTTTCTACTTTTGATTCAAGTAGTAGCAACGCGCTCCACACATATTTTGTTTGGATTGAGTTTAAATTTTACAACGACAACTAAAATCAGCATACCCGAAATGCTTAATTTTTCTTAATGAACGAATCTTACCGTGCAAAGGATTTTCAAACCATTCAACAATTCAAGTCAATTCAAAAAATTTCGAGATTTCTACAAGTATTTTTCAATTTTTAAATTTTGTCAAAAAACTGTCAAAAATCGACTACGCACATGTTTAAAATTACAAACTTGATTTTTCGAAACTATTAAAAGACCTTCCTTGCTTCTGTATTCTGGTTTTGAAAATTTTTGGAATTTTAAAAAACCCATAATCAAGAAAAAATTCCACAACCCTAAAAGTTTCGAATCTCTAACTGAAAATTAGGGATAAAGATACCGGCGCGCCGCCGCCGAGGCTTTTCACTACTCACACCGCCGTCGCCGATATTGTCATCGGCGTGGAGCTCTGATTTAATGCAGATGCGAAAAATTCAGTAACTCATTGGCGCCGCAAGTTCGCAAAAACTCTCGGTTTTCAAGCGAAATCTTGAAATTCTTTCGTGGCAAGACATTCATATTGCAATTTTCTTTCGATAAATCCTTGGATTAGACTCTAATCATTAGAGCATGCAGTGGAAAATGGTGCTAGGTCAATTTGGTCGCGTCAGTTTGGTCGGGTTAGTTTGGTCTGGTATAATTCGGTCTGGTCAAATTGGTATGTCAAATTTGGTCTGGACAATTTGGTCTCACGTATTAAAAAATGAAATTGATTGAAGTAATGAACGTATTTCAATATTTAAGCTTTAATATGTATTCATTTTAAAAGAAATTTGATGAACAATTTTCTGCTTGTATTCATTTCAAGGGGCCGTAGGAACCCTGGCGTCTTTCCAACGCCCACCAGCATTTACGTATTTCAATTTTACTTCAAAATGTAAAAAAATATCAAAAACGATACCACCAGCAATGCAAAATGTAGTGTAACTAATTGACAGTCCAACTGGCCTGTGCCGTTCAAATTGAGTTCATTTGACAATTAGGATTGCATGCGCTTAGTAATGTTCGCCCAGACTTATCGCCCAAATAATAATTCACTTACAATTAACAATTTTCAAGTGCCTGATTTAAAATCCAATTGGATAATGGATAATTAGCTGCAAATTCATTGGAAAATCATTTTTAAATGTCCCGCTAAGAATAAAAAATTAGTAAAAAAAACTCGCTAAGGTTTTCTGGTTGAGAGTAATATCTGTAAACATTTCGACAAGTTCAAACGACTAATTAACCAAAAGCTTCTCGATTTTCAACGAAAAGTTTTATTATCGTAATTAGTAATTTAATTATGTACGAATTAATTTAGTAATTTGGTCAACTATGCCATAAGCAAAAGGTGCGTCAGGCCAAAATGCATAGACCAAACTAACCAGACCAAATTGGCTTGACCAAAACGGCTAGACCAAATTGGCGAGACCGAATTTGTTTAAGACCAAACTAACTCCAGACCAAATTTCCCAAGACCAAACTGACCGGACCAAATTGACCGGACACCGTGGAAAATCACAAAATGTTTGCAATTCGGCCAGAGCTGCACCAAAACTTGCAATTTTGTTAGCGTTTTTAACATATGTATTTAGACTACAGCCATCGAAACGACAAAATAAAGCCTATAGAATTTAATACGTTATACACACCTGTATAATTTCATGCTGATCACGAATACGCAAAAAGGATGCAAATTTTTGCCACGTTTTGCACGTTAGAAAATTTGTAACATTTCCTATATTTAAATTTCGTAGTTGTTTTGAAATTGCAACAAAATAAAAATTTTAGACATTTCAGAAAAATGTAAAGCCACAATTTTTTTCTTATTGGAAATAGGTTATTGCAAAAAACTGTATTGCTTAAAAACTTTTGGAGTTTTTTGCAATAAGAAAAATTTTGATTTCCCAAAAACTAATTAGGTTGGAATTTTAGTCCAGAACCACCCACCCACTAAAATGATGACGTAATATATGGACGTTCCCAGAGCAAAGTAGAGGCCCACTTCTTACTAAGAAGTGGGCCTCTACTTTGAAGAAGCAGTGGAAATGGAAGCGCCACCATATGACGAGCTACCCGTGAACTCCTGGGAAAACGACGAAGAGGACGCGAATGAACTGCGGAGTTTTTTTAAAGCAACTGGGTTGGCTCGAAATGCATGCTTGGCTCACCTCCTTCAGTTGGCTGTGAAGGATGCATCTACTCAATGTCAAATTGTTATGCAATTGGTGAAAAAATTAACGGAAGTTATAACTTTCTTCAATCGCAGTAGCCATCACTCCACCAAACTGAAAGAACGGGCTGGCTACAGTTTGGTGAAACCATGCACTACGAGATGGAACTCCTTGTATCTGGGATTTCAGAGATTACAGCAAAGTTCCAACTTGAACAAAGTAAGACTTAATATTTCCACATCATGATGTGGCACGGATTCAATTATTTTTTATCTAATTGTCTTAAATCCTCATTCACAATAGGAGGAGACCGTCGCAGAAAGTGTTAACGCGATTCTGCAAGAAGCAAGGCCGCAGCCGTCATTACGAAAAAAGTCAACCCCTAAAACCAATAAAGGCAGCCAAACTGACGAACTTCCAAATCGATTGTCTAAAGTTCCAGTTGGATTTACACAGGCGGATATTACGAATATGAAGACAATCGTTGAATTACTGCAACCCCTAGCGGATCTTACGGATCAATTGCAGGCTGATAAGATAACATCTTCAATAGTAATTCCTGGGATTATCTCAGCTGTGGCATGTAATTATTTCATTTACTAAATAACCCCATCTTGATGGGGAAAATAATATTGATGACTTCAGTTTAGTCATCCAGGTTAATACATGTTTTATCAATTATAGCGTTAGAAGAAATTGAAGTTGATGAAGGCGACGACTTTGACGAGCTTGACGATTTTAAACAAAACCTGATAAGCTGCGTAGTAGATCGATTTACAAAACTAACTGGAACTGCATTCAAGACACAAACAAAATCTAATCCCAAGAATAAATCAACAACTTGTGAAGTTACTGGAGAAAGTTATGACGAAGACGGCTTAGACCGAGATGATCATTCTAAGGCCACAAAAAAAACGACTAGCATTTTTTCGGTAGACGTGTTCCACGACCGAAATTTTATTTTGGCGACTCTTTTGGATCCACGCTTAAAGCACGAACCGTTTAAAGGTAAGATTAAACTAGCCCCCCGTCATGACGGGGATTATTTTAAATAACTATTCTAATATCGTATTATAAGTGCTAACTTTTTTATGATGGTTTTAGCCGATTTTTTGGACGATAATTCAGCGCTTCATGGCAAACTCCCCAGTCTTGATTATGTCAAAAATGTTCTGAAAGACTATGCTCAGATGGCGAAGGCGGCTAGCGTTGTTACAACAAATTCAGAAAGCGTGGATGACACTAGCGACGAAGCGCCTCCAGTAAACAAGAAAACTAAAAAATCTGTATTTTCAATGATTGCGGCTAGGAAGAAGAACGATTCTCTGCCTGAAATGTTTGAAGAAGTTGATCGCTATTTGAATCTACCTCTCGCTAGACAGGACGATTGTCCGATTTTATACTGGAAATCTGAAGCAGAACGATTATCAACTTTGGCTACGTTGTCCCAACGCTTCCTCTCAATTCCTGCCTCATCTGGAGCGGTGGAAAGATTGTTTTCGGTGGCTGGAGCTATTGGAAGAAGTCAACGCGCTTGCATTCGAATAAGCACAATGGAAAAAGCTCTTTGTGTGAGGCAATACTTAATCAACAAGCACCATCAAGTTAATGGATAACGGATATTCTGTTAAAATTGTAAGAGCCAATAAAAATACAGTAAAGGTAGTCCCATCATGATGGGAATATATGCTTGTTATGCATATTTACATGAATTTTGAAAAGTTGGTGTTTGTTATAGTTACGCTGTTACCATTTTTAAATATTCTCCAAAATTTAATCCATTCTCTAAAAATTGAGCTTAACTTTGTAGGTGTTTGTCTGAAAAGTTCAGAAATAAATAAATAAATATCCATCCAAAATCTCGCCCTCCAATCCATATCCATAAATAATTCTCGCACTCCAATATACCAGTATCCATATCCATCAATGATTCTCGCCCTCCAATATCCCAGTATCCATATCCATCAATGATTCTCGCCCTCCAATATCCCAGTATCCATATCCATCAATAATTCTCGCCCTCCAATATCCCAGTATCCATATCCATCAATAATTCTCGCCCTCCAATATCCCAGTATCCATATCCATCAATAATTCTCGCCCTTTAATATCCCAGTATCCATATCCATCAATAATTCTCGCCCTCCAATATCCCAGTATCCATATCCATCAATGATTCTCGCCCTCCAATATCCCAGTATCCATATCCATCAATAATTCTCGCCCTCCAATATCCCAGTATCCATATCCATCAGAAATTCTCGCCCTCCAACCTTCAAATATCCAATATCCACGATATCCGCCGAGCCCTGCTTCTTACTGACCGTATTTTAACATATGTGCATATGTGCAGATCAGTTTCTCACGTTACTCGCTTTCATTCATTCATTCCGGGACCTGTGCCCATTCACTTCCTCACCATGTGGCTGAAATAAACAACTCACGAAGTAAAGTTTCAGCTGTGTTCAAAATAAATAAAAAACACATGCAAAATACTTGTAAGAATTTCAATTTGTAAGAATTTCAAAGCATTAATGTTACTCATTTTATGTCACATAAATTATGTGATAGGTTAACACACTAATTGGTTTAGTGTACAAGTTGCAGTTACAAAGTTAAGTTTGAAGTCTTGAGTTTAAGTTAAATTTGCAATTTACGTTGCCAATCGTGTATAAGATTTACATTAGGTAAAGTTATTCATACTTTTCCAATTTTCCGAGTCAATATTTACACAAATGAAGGTTAAATCTGTGCTAAAATTGATTCCTTGTAATTCAAAACTTTTCAACATTTCCGTCTGAAATTGCGGAAAACTAACTTCTGGTCGAATTACTAAACTCAATATGTTTTTGTGACGACCGTCCCATAATTTACTAGAAAAATTTACATAAAAAATAAGTACATTACCATCATAATTTTAAATATATCACAACTCGGTGAGAAATATGAAACCATGAAGGCAATATCATAACCCCATGTTTGGAGGTATCCACATATTACGTCATCAAAAATTCTTTATCTCACCTAACTTATCCATTAAGGGATATGAAATTTAAACATGGGAGAGATATGAAAATCTAGACCGCCCAACCACAAAAATGACGACGTAATATATGGATTGTCCCTTAATTTACGGACAGCCCCTTAACAAAACTAACAACTCATTAGTAATTTATTATTATTATTTTTACAGCCTCACTATGGACCAAGAAGTCCTTCCCGACACCCAGCAGACCGGAGGTCACGCCAAGACAGAAAAAATTCCTCCTCCTTCCCCCGAAGTAGACAAATCTCACCTGAATCAACGACCAAAACTCGACAAAACTTGGCAAAAACTCGGCCCCCTCATCGCCACGTCGGTCGCCAATCGAAAAATGTACGAAGGATATGAAATCGCCGTTAAAAATGAAACCTATACTTGCCTCGCGTGCGGTTTTATAGTTTCAGGATCGCGTAAATCAAACAAATCCGATAACAGAAGATTAATCAAACTGCACATAAAAGCGAAACATTTAAGTAAGTTGCTGTTCTCTTTTATGTTTTAATCGAGGACTCATCTTCAACACATTTTGAATCATTTCTTAAATTTATTTCTAAATTCTGCAAGACAAATTTGTGGGTCTTTTCCATTTAAAAAATTTACACTTCAAATTTGGCAGTTTCTGAAACGAATGTCAAACATTAGAAAAATGGGACTTATTGGAACTCGCTCAAAAAACTCAGCGCCTTTCTATTGAAAAATTATAAATTTACTGACTAAAAAATTTGGCGTACAGAATTTTAAAATAAATTTCCAGAGTTCAATGTTACGGATGGGATGATCAGTTTAATTAGTAAAATTCATTTCAAATTTATACCACAATTTTCCCAATTTTCAGACGCTTTCCGATGTGAACCATGCGAAAAGGACTACACCTCGTATACCATGTACCGTTAAAAATTAATTTAACTTATCCCACAAATTTAGACAAGAAAACCTTTTGTACTGTCCCACCTAAATTCCACCCAAATTAATCTCATGCCGTTGATAATTTCACCAAACAAAATTTTACAGTGCAAATTCAGGGCCATGCAAAATATTTTGCAAATACTCCGTGTCATTTTGAAGTAATGTTCCGCTCTCATTCTCGGGCGAATTAGATTTATAAATTTGGGCAAAATCCGGCAGGCACACAGTACTTAAGGTTCCCTTGTAATATTAACCGCACCCTTACTAAAATTAATCCTATTTGCCATTTACAGTTTACAAACTCACCTCCGAAAGATGCATTCCGCCGGAAAGCTCCCCACCCACGTTTGCGAGATATGCGGAAAAACCGTGTCCAACATCGAACTGCACGTATGGAACCATCACAAGTCTCCGGAGGAGAAAGAACAAGTCATCCAGTCCGGGGTGGGATTCGGGCTCATATCATGTGACAAGTGTGGAAAAGAATTTTCCGGACATGATAAGCTAGCAGCGCATCAAACCCAAGGAAACCGATGTAAAGGGGCCAAGATAAGCGTCGAAAACGGTATGTGCCTAATAAGTTGGGTGAGACACCATCCGAATACATTTCTAAACCTGTCCAGAATTTTAGAGCATTTTCAAGGAATTTTTGGACATTTTTGGCGAATTTTAGGATATTATTAAGGAAGTTTCGAACATTTCTAATAAATTTTTGGGTAATTTAAGGAATTTCTTACATTTTTGAAATGAATTTTTGGGTACCTTAAGGAATTTTAGAGAATTTTAAATCAATTATCATACATTTTTAATGAATTTTTGGGTAATTTCACGAATTTTGGAGCATTTCTAGCTAATTTTGTGGCATTTTTAAGGAACTTTAGGGCACTTTGAAGGAGTTTCCTAGCAGTTTTAAGCAATTTTTGAGGTGTTTACGTAAACGACTTTTCAAACATTTTAAACGGAAAGTGAAAAACTTTAGGGAAATTGTTGAGCGTTTTTAGGGAATTTTAAAGCGTTTCAAAGATATTTTCGGTCATGTCTAAGAGTTTTTAAAATATTTAGTTCAGTTTTTGAAACTTTCTACAATTTTGTGAATTTTATGTGTGAATTTAATATGTACTAATTTAGATCCTGCCGCTGGAACCTCTGGTGTCGTCCTGGGGAGCGCAGATAAGTCGGACACCTCGCTTTCAAAACCTTCCAACCGGAGGCTCACATGTCGCATCTGTGGTCGCTCAGTGACCTTTTACAGTCACGCTCAACACGAATGGACGCACAAAAATGAAGCTGAAAAGGAGGAAAGTATTCGACTCGGGATATCTCCAAAGGTTCGGTGTCACATCTGCAACACGTACGTGCTCCACAGCGGCTACAAAGCCCACCTCGATGTTCACAAGAATCCCGAAGAGATTTCCCATCTCGTCTGCGAGTGGGACGGATGTGGGCGCAAATTTGCGAGAAAATCGTACCTGGCCCTGCACATTAAAACGTTCCATCATCGCTCCAAACCTCCCCACGTGGCCAAACCTAAACTCGATTTGCTCTGTCCTGGTGAGAATCCAAAAATTTATGTAATTTATAAAAATTATAATAATCCTTAATCACCAATTAATATGGATTAATCAATCCTTAGTCTTGAATTACGCTTTAGGCCGGACTAACTAATCTTTATTGACGAGTTAAACAGGATTAGCTAATCCCTAATCACGAATTAAGCAGAATTAGTTAATTCATAATCTTTAATAACAAATTGATCCGGATTAAGTAATCCTTAATTTTTGTTCACGAATTCGCCTAGATTAATTAGTCCTTAATTTTGAGTCACGAATTAAGCTGAATTAATTAGTCCATAATCCTTAATGATCAATTGATCAGGATGAATTAGTCCTTAATCTATGTTCACGAAGTAATCTGGACTAATTAATCCTGCGTCTTTAATCCTGAATTTGAAAACAAATTAATCCTTAATCAAATTGAGTTATTTCATTAACCCCAGGCTAATCTGATTTCGGATTAATATTACTCCGAAACTAATAGCCTCCGAGAAATTTTATGCATCGAGTAGGTTTACGTATAAAATTTCCCGGAGGTGAGTTGGCCGGATTAATAATTAATTCTACCATATATTTACCTCCTTCTGAAAAGATCTCCTATTTTTTAGATCCGTCCTGTTCCTCGCTCCGTTTTACGTCAAAACCTTTGCTGAACTCGCACATTGCTCGCCGTCACAAGTGCAAAGTCCGTTCCGAGCGTCCCCTCAAGTGTGACATTTGTCATGCCGGCTTCCTCGTCCGAATCGATTTCACGCGACATCAAAAGAGCCACCTGCCCCGTGAAGCGTACACCCTCACCTGCCCCCACTGCCCCATCCTATACGCTAAACCAAACCTATTAAGGAGACATTTGACCTTGGAACATTCCGCACCAAAAGCAAGCCGGGCAGCCAGTGAACGAATGTATCGAGAACGGAAGAAAATGCAGGGAAAACGGAAGGCCGCTGATGACGACAGGTTGGAAATCGATTAATATTTTAGAAATGGTTCATATTTAGCCCGAGTCAAAGCTTAGTTGCCCGTGAGTCCTTAGCTCGTTTCTATACGCTCGTAAGATTACTAGTGGATTAAATAATTAATTTATCCAATTGGAATTTTTACATGCAGATTTTTATGCAGAAGTAGGATAAGTTCGAAAATGAGCAAAATTTTTGTTGTAGCATAACCCATCACTATTAACCTAACAACCTGACTCGGGCTAAATATGCACTGTGAAGTTCCAAGGTTAAAATTGTAAGCATATATAAGTCCAGGATTTTCCACTTATTCCAGCCCTCCTTCTTCCCACTCATCAAAGCGTAGGATGAAACCCCGAATAGAAATTGAGCACGTTCCAGATGAAGAAATTGAAATTAAGGAAGAAGATTGCACCATTCGAGATGCCCTCTCAGAGGCGGAGGAGGAGGAGGTAGACTCCGGGGATAGAACCGATAATGACAGGAATGAGACTGACGTTGAGATTAAGTCTAAAGGTCAACAATCAAACGGTGATCTGGATAATGTTACAAGTTTGTCGCATTTTAGCAAGATTAAATCGGAGCATGGAAGCGATAGCGATATTGACACGGAAAGTGAACACAAAGGTTTTAAAATGTTAACTTTTAACGGTAATAATTCATCCCCGGAAGAAGACGATGGAGATAGCGAAGATCCACTCAAATTATGGGATGATTAGTGGAGATATTTTTGTAGCAAATGCCATTAAGAATTAAATTTTTAATTTCTAAATATTTTCAAGCTAAGTATTTCAATCGAAATTTGTGTCCAAATGTATGATCACACATACATACGCAGCAAAATGTAATAAAGTACATATTCACAAATATGCGTTTAGATAATTGGGGTTATTTTAATGCACCAGACGTTTAACTGAGACCACATAACTAAATAAATATATAGAAATCGCATAACCTGAATTTCCAGTGCTTTAATTCAATTTAAAAACTGTAAGACTGAAATCTGCCAGACTTTTCATAGTAATGCATTTTATTGAATTTAAGAAAATATATAATAGAATTATATAATTGATAAGAAAGTTCGATACACAGTAGCATTAAAAGTTTGATACATTTCATCCGAAAACGCTATAAAAAGTTTAGTTTCATTTATAAAAACATTTCTAGAACGAACTTTATCGTGGCTCCCTATTCGATAGATTCGGCAGTAATAAAAATGGAAGTTTGATATATTATGATAATATTGTATTCATTTATTTCTCCACTCTTTCAGGCCAACCGGCCCATAGAGCACGACAATAAAATTTTACATCATTTAACAGTATAACGGGTTACATAATCAAAATTTCCATTTTTCAGAAACAACAGATATTACGAATTTCCATGAGTACAATTAACCATTTTGACAGGACGTACTCAAGCGAACCGCTTTTGACCAGATCCACCCCTTTTTGAATTGGCCTGTGGGAGGTCCTTCCCAAGCGAAGAACCTCTGGCGGAGCCTCTGGCGAACAATAGAAGGTCACGTCGTCGTCGCCATGCGCGACGACGACGAATAGGATGCGACATCATCCTACGCCGATGCAAAGGTGACGAATAATATGCATTCTCCTTCGCCAGGCGCAGAAGCGCCCAATGACAACACGTTTACTGGCCGTGAGGCGTGTTTTCTCTCGTTTCATATGAGACTCGTCTCACTTCTCGAGAATGTTCCCCCGGGGCGAGCCTCTGCAGTGGAACTCGGAGACTACGAGAGACGAGGGCGGCTTGGATTCTAATTGCAGCATGTTTCAACCTCGCAACAACAACGACGACGACTCTCGTAAGTTTGTGAATAAAAACTCCGACGAATATCCGAAGATATAATTCATTTTTTGCAAGTGTGAGTGGTGAATACGAGTGGTGAATTATTTGGTGTGAATGTGAACTAGTTTTGGGCAATATTTGTGTGTGAGAGCGAAGAAAGAAGGATAAAAGCGTGCAATTTGCTTACAGTGAAAGAGTGTAATTTACAGAGGATCATGAACAAGGTCAGTAAATTACATACCTACACACAAATAAATATACATACTCGTAGTAAATAAGCCAACATATACGGTCAGTAGGTACCCGTTTATATCGGGTAGGCAATATGCGTGTGGCTCAGCCCTGCTATTGTTTCCCCGATTTCGGTACATATTTGCACAGTTACTTTTTGGTCTAATCGGGATCATATTTATTAGGGTGCACTTTCATCCATACATTTATTCATCCATGCGGGAGTTAATAATCATGCATTTTCTGTGCATTTCAGCACATTATTATTAATGCATCATTTAATTAAGCTGTCAATTGTTTCAGGTAGCAGAATATTGGAAAAGGAAGGCGGCAGAAGAAAGGGGGGATTTGCAGCTGTCCATCATCAATCGGAAGACGGACTGGATGCCGATGGAGCCGCGTAAAAATTTGACCCCTCTGGAACGACGCGTCAACGACTTGACGGACAAGGATAAGAGGTTATTAGGTATTTTACTATTATAACTGAACTTCATGTGTACATACGTGTGCTCGGATGTTTTCTGTATATCATGAATATTGCTTTTAGCTCCGTTTGTCCCTATTGATTCGTTGAATCAAGCGGAGCGACTGGATACTTTTAAGACGCCTCAATATCCGGAATTGAAGAAATACAAACGACGTCAGGCGAGGAGGTGCAAAAACAACTTCGGGGAAAAGAAGGCTCGCACCATGGCGAATTATAAAGTCACCAAAAAGGTACGGTAATATTTTATGCATATATAAAGAAGAAATATACATATGTATCTGGACACACTTGTGTAATAAATGTCTGTTAAAATGATTGAATTTTTGTATAGGACTTGATTAGGAAAGTTTTAGCAATGCGTTGAAGATCACCGTGAGACGACGAGACTCTCTCGTGGTTCTGAAAATGGCTGATCCGACCCTGGTGAAGAAGACAACATATCAAGAATACATGCTCCAGGCGGCGGACAACATAATCATAAGACTGGTGTCTTTTTTTAGCCAATCTGCCAACAAAGCCGGCCACTGTCCTCATCACCACAGTAGCCACGACCACAGTAGCGACGACCATTGCAGCCACAACCACTGTGAGGCCAGCTACGACGACCAGCGCCCCATTAATTCAGAGCATTGAATTAAGTAATTGCGTGCATATTTTCTCACATGGATTTTGTATTGAAACGCATCTTTTTTACAGAAATCAACCGACAGCGGTTACCGACACCCACCATCCAAAAAACTGCACAAATTCCATGGAAAAATGCGCCCAATAATGATGCTGCTTTCCCATTTCATCAATCATCCTCGCTATCTCCAGCAGCCCGACTCCCCCAACCACCACCACCATCTCCCATTCCAGCCTCCCCGTTACAAGTCCCAAGACCTCCACCATCGTCCCCATCAATAGCAGCAACCCCAAATCCACCACTCGTACGGCTACTGCCTGGAACATCACCTATTCCCGATATGCATTGTAAGGAGACAAATATGGACAGGCTCATAAGGAGCATTTGCCGATTTAATTATTTGCAGGGATCTGACGGCATTCACATGTCGTATGGCAAAGGTGAGATGAAATGCGATGAGCGAATGATCCGTTATAAAACATGCAGCGCAAATCGCACAGGGTGAAATGTATTTTGTATGCGTATGATAAATAAGTCCAGATTATTTTTGTAACTAAAAAAACTTAAAGGTTTAATGGAACTTATTTACATGTAAATATTTACAATGTCGTATTATAATAAATGTTCTAAACTATTTGATTTTACTTGAATAAATTTACAGACTACGTACCATTATTAATAATAATCACTAATTATGAATACATTCACTTTCTTAAAACTGCGTAGACAAATACAAATACACGATGCTACATTTTACTACGACATTTTAATACGCACGAATAAGATGATAGAAAATGGATGAATTCAGGCATCTTCGCCACCTAAAATGTAAGATATACATTAATTTTACTTGCACCAATTTTTACTATTTTACTTACTTGTTGGGGAAGATGAGACTGGACAGTGAAGATTCATAACCGTCTCCATGATCGCAATGTTCTTTTCTTGTATTCTTAACTGCGTGGCGAGGTTGGTGTTTGTCGCAGTTAAGTTTTTTGCTAAAATATCCAAGGTTGTGGCGATAAGAACTCTCGATTTTTGGAGTTCTAGCACCTTGGTGTGCTCCTCTCTGGCCATGAAATAAGCCAGGATATGTTTTTTATTAGTTGACTCTAACTCTCTCTTGCACTGCAGCAGGGTTCGGTGATATCCGGCTTGCGTTATTCTGCAGCATCGCACAATTTGGTTGAGTCAAGCCAGTTTCATTTTGATTGATTCATCATCTTCGCGTATTGGTGGCTCTGTAGACTCACCGAAATCGGGGTTGGGGTCGGCAATGAAATTGAAAGAGGGTGGAATAGTTAAATTGTATGAAAATTCGAGATCTGGAGATGATGGAGGAGCTGCCGGCAGGGGGTCGGGGGAATCTGGAACGATGTCATTCGATTTCTCCATTATTATGGGGAGAAAAATAATGTCAGGGTACAAACACAAGTGGTGATAGTTATTTCTATTATTCTAGTTTTACAGGTGCTAAGAAATTTGAAGCAACGATCGCAAAATGCCCTTAATCGACGGCGAGATGAAGGTGGTTCTTGCTCAATCTCTAAAACAGAAGATGATGTTTGTACTTCCGCCTCTGGCATGTTGTATACTGGATACCGCAGCAGTATTTTCAGGGGTTTTTATTGACATCATGCGCCAAGAGAAAGCAGACGAGCTTTTTCTGCTTGTTCGACGTCCCTGTCAAACGCCCTCAGTTGGGTAATAATGTGTTGGAAAGCGCCGACGGAGACCGTTATTACCACCCCTTGCCAGTCATATGCACTCACTCGAGGGCTGAGAAATTTTATGAAAAGCAAGCCATTTAGCCTAATTGGCCTGAATTTTAAACCTCCGTCACAAGAGCGAGTGTAGCTGGAATCCCAAAAATTTTCGTCAGTAAGGTCCTCAATTGCTGCAAAAGGATTGTCCTTGAGACTTTTAATCTCAGTTCGAACGTTAGTAGAATCAATTTCCTTGAACAATTCTTCAATTCTAGCTGTAACGTCTGCAATATCCTTGATAGGGATTCTGATTATTGAATCCTTGATTTGACCAACTCTTTCGGATTTATTAATCTTTCGCAAAACAGCATAATAAGCCAAGTCTATCTGGTCCCAATATTGCTTCAGCTGAATACTTCCCACAAATGGAACATTATGCCAAAATAAATATTGCTTGTACACTGCGTCGTCATTTCCCTGCGTCTGTTGCTGAGGCTGGGAATTCTGCAGCGTGGATGACAGGAAGCGGAGAAAGTCTGCCTGTGATGGTGCGATATTTTAAGTCTGTGTCGATGGCAAGCACACTTTAGTAGTAGCTCCCTCATCCTCGCTGTCCTCGGTCAGATCTATGCATTGTTGAGACTCTTGATTGTTGCTGGAGCTCGTCTCCATTTTGACGTAGAATTGTTCCAGTTTGCAGACTCTGTGTGCGTTTATATACACACGATTTAAATAGAAAACGTTTCTTGATAAAATGGAGACAATGAGAAATTGTGCAATATATGCGATTATGATCATGAACATCATCTTGACACATCATACTTAAAAAATCAGACGCACTGTGCGTTGTTCTTATGATTTCTTGTCAAAAAAGCGAAAGTGAAAAATAGTTCTCTGCCAGTGATGGACGATTATGGGAGATTGGATATCAGACTGAAATTCGACTCTTGACGGGTCACACTTAAAAGATCAAACACAATGTGCGTTGTTATGATTTATAACGCATTGCTGAGAATTTTGTTTCAATATGTAGACCCTCCATAGATTTTTAAATACGGGTTTGGGGTGGAGAAGGCTTCTTAAAATAGGCGACAGTGAAAGATAATACGTTGTCACTGATAGATGATTATGGGAAAATGGATTCCATGGTGAAAGAACAGACGGGTCCCGCATTAAAAAAAGTACACAACGAGTCTTATACGTGTTGCGTTCGAATGATTAATCGAATCCGATGTGACAAGTATTAGAGCACCTTCATTTTTATCTTCTCAATATATTGACTACTTTCTTTACAAACATATCTTCTTAGTTTGCAGTTGACCTAGTTTGCAGAAAATTACAAAGATAGGAGTAAAGTACTTTCACCACTTTGTCTTCAGTTCTTCTTAGTGACTCGTCGCTCCAGTTTAAAATAAGTTGTGAAACGTTTAGTTAAAATTTGTGACCTAAATTTTTAGACTATAAAAAGCAATGTTCTACATGAGATCAATGCACATTGGCCGGCATGTCGACAATCTCATCGTCACTGGAGGAACTTGAAAAACAGTATAACAAAAGTGAAGATTTAGTTGAGTTCACACTTTCATTAAAATATTATTCATCATTCGTTAAGACTAAGGTAAGACCAAGTCCTTTAAATAATACATTCTTGTCCCCAAGTCCATATTGTGACAATCATTTTAAGCTGACCCCCTCTCAGAAATCCGTATTTAATATTTTTAAACGCAGTTTAGAAACTGGTGAACGGTTGAGACTCGCAATAATCTCAGGGGGCGGTTTTGGGAAATCAGAGGTTCTCAAATATTGTAGAGATTACACAAGTCAGTCATTGCATATGAGATCAATCAACCAAGCATTTGTAATTTTAACTTTCACTGGGGCAGCTGCATTTGTCATTAATGGGTTGACGGTGTATTCATTCTTTCAGTTGAAGAAATATGAGGCGAACGACTGGTGTAAGTTAGTTCATCGGCGTGCTAGCCATCAATTAAAGGAGAGGGCAAGGGCAGTACAGGTTCTCGTCATTGATGAGAAATTACGATGATTATTTTTTTCCTATTGTCACGGCTAACTTTTGTAATAAGCGTCGTTTTTCTCACTTAGCCCGAGTCGGGGCTTATGGAACCGTCATGTCCGTCCGTCCGTGTGTCCGTCCGTCTGTCCGGCACGATAGAGCCAAAACGGCTGCACCGATTGACTTGAAATTTTTACCATATGCATATTGGACAAAATTAGGAAACGAGTTCGAAGACGGGCGAAATCGGTCAAGTGGTTGACCGGTGGGGGTCGCCGAGGTGGGTGGGGTATTATGCATCAAAATTTCAAACTTGTCGTAGAAAGCTGAAATTTGGTACAGAGGTTGATAATGGCCTCTAATGGAAGAATGTGAAGTCAAATTGGAAAAATCTTTGTCCGGACCCTATGGTGTGACCCATACCGATTTTCAGAAATAGTCGTAAAAAGATGAAATTCGGAACGGTGATACGTAATAGCTTCTCATGCAAGAATATGAAGCCAAAAGTGAGCAAAATGTAACCAGAGTGACCCTAGGAGGTGACCCATACCGTTTTTTAAAAGTTGCTATTTTCAGCTGAAATTTGGCATGGAGGCTAAAAATTTGTTATGCGTAGCAAGTAAAGCTTTGGAAGTTCAATAATTGAAAGAAGTGAGCCCTACTTGCCCTACTGGTGATGGGGAAAGTTTCGTAAATATTTCAAAAATTAGGTGTCCAGTAATATAAAATTTTTACGAAAGATTTGACCATCCACACCATAATATACTAGGGGGTTGTAATAGTAGTCCGGTCAAATCGGACAAAAGTTTAGAAGCGGACCTCTATCCCTGACTCGGGCTAAATGGAGTCTGCTCTGTAGGTTTTCTTAGGTGAGACTATGGTTACCGAAAAAATACCTAAGTAAGCATTCAGCAACGGTTTGAAAAGTGACCACAGCCCATAACTTTGCCATTTCTTGACCGATTTTGATGAAATAATAACCCAGAGTCATTTATGGTGGTGCACAATCAAAAACTTGTACTGCCAATCAGGATTTGTGTACCGATTCTGACTTATGCTCAGAAAACCGTTTTTGAGGCAATTTTTTGGCGAATTTTCGTCTATACTAACAAAGTTGAGAACTATATTGAAAATCTATTTCTTACAAAATGTGGCACATGTATTTCTCTCTCATTTAAAATTGGGATGAACAAAATCGGTGGAGAAATGAAAAAGTTATCCACTGACACAATACTTATATACTATTATTAGCTCACCCTGCGCAGCAGAGGAGCTATTGAATTCCTCTTGTCCGTCCGTCCGTCCGTCCGTCCGTCTGTTAACGACTCTTTTGCATCAATTCATGCTAATTAGAGCCAGTTATTGGCATTCCTGACCGACTTATTAGCACCACTGATATCGAATAATCGGAGACTCAAAATGGTGCGAAACAATTGCGAACATAGATGCTAAACGCACCAAAAGTGCAGAAGAACCGTCAGAAACACCTATGGTTTTGACCTCAAATTTTTTAAGGTTTTATGTCAAAATCAGGGTTTCTCTTCCCTGGTGTATTTTGCACCATTGGTGCAAAATTATATCCCAATTACATATATCTTTGTTCCGCATATTCTGCACCATTAATGTAAAATTTTGCCAAAATTGGGTATTCATTTTTTCCACATATTCTGTATCATTGGTATAAAATTATACCAAAATGGTTATTACAGGGTGAGCTACTTCCACCGTTACAACGGTTTATTTT